TATAACACTGCATTCTCACCAACTGAGCAAACCAGCCACACCTAGGTTCCTCAATACATTTTAAGAACATCAAGGGGTTCTGAGACCAAAAAGTTTGAGAACCATGAATTAGATGGAAACCAAAAAATAGGATGAAGACTATCTTAAGTAATTCAAGTATGGAAAGAATATTTGGGATAGTTAACAAAAGGTTTTATTGTAGCTTAAATTAAGAGCTTAGGTGGTCCATCAATGAGAAATGGAAAATACAATCAGGAATACTGGACTTTCTTTAAAGACACAACTGGTTAAGAGTGCAATCATAATATATATAGCATTAAAAAAAAAGGTGAGAGGGCGGGCCCGTGGCTCACTCGGTAGAGTGCGGTGCTGATAACACCAAGGCCCCGGGTTCGGATCCCACATAGGGATGGCCGGTTCGCTCACTGGTTGAGCGTGGTGCTGCCAACACCAAGTCAAGGGTTAAGATCCCCTTACCGGTCATCTTTTAAAAAAAAAAAAAAAGGTGAGAGAGACACAATTAAGTCTTGAAGACTGAGGGGAAATGGGGGATGAATTTGTTACACATAAAAGATATAGTCATTTCTACCCTACTTTCTTTCTTTTTTTTTTTTTTAGCCCAGCCTCTCTTCCTTAAGGGTGTAGGAAAATAAGTAACATCTCATCACTATGAATAAGTATTAAAAACATACTTCCAGGGCCGGCCCGGTGGTGCACTGGATAGTGCGCCGCTGGGGAAGCACGGCGGCGCTCCCGCCCGAGGGTTCGGATCCCACATACAGACGGGTTCCCGCTCACTGGCTGAGGCGAGGCACGGGAGCGACACCGAGGGTTGCGATCCCGTTGCCGGTCCCGGTCCGGTGCGGGGGCGACACTGAGGGTTGCGATCCGTTGCCAGACACGGAAAAAGACAAAAAAAAAAAAAACATACTTCCATATTCCAGATATGGTCCACACAACTCTGCCCATTTACCTGCTTATAAAAAATATACCTGTACAACAAATAGTTTCCCTGGACCCCATCTCCACACTACTCATTTCTCAAGTGAGAATTATAACATGCCACCAAGCAGCAATGAGCCCTTAAACATCCTAACCAAATACCAATATCTTCAGCACCATTAAAAAGAAGATTGCCTACAAAGCACTCTTCATATCTATTCTCCTTTGAGCCTCTCAACAACCCTATGACATGTGGAAAGTAGGCATCATTATTTCTACTATAGAAGAGACACAGAGAGACCAACTTGATTGAAGTTACCTGGCAAGTTAGGACTAATGCTGTGGCTAACACTCAGCCATCTGTCTCCTAAAGCAGTGTTCCCTTCCCTTTAGTAGTTTCCTCAGAATACCTGTCACCTCCACATCTCCAGCCTTGCCTTTCCTATATGACAAAAGATTTCCAATATCGAATTCCAGCTTTGCAACAATCTAGGCTATATAAACGTGGTCCATAAATTCTCTTTTTTAAAGCCTCCAAATAAAATTTAGTAGAATTTCATATTAACCTTAAAAATTGGTCTATGCTATCTGATGGGGATGGGATGTGTTAGGAAAAACAGAATACAAGAGAATTAGGAATCTTTGCCTAATAGTTCCAAGAATTTTTTTTTACCTACTAATTTCAAAACCAAGGTGAGGAACTTCTCTGCCTAATCAATCACCTCATTCTGCAAAATGAAAATATATACTCATTATGCCAAATTCCAAAACAACAGAATAATTTTTAGATCCCATGAAGTGCATCATAATGAAAAAAGTAACTCTGAGCCACAAAGAAAGCTATAAAGATTGCTTCTTACATATTTACTTCTATCTACTTCTAAAAGGAAAACGGGAAACTTACATGAAAGGTAAGAGCGCAAACACAGTCCATCTTCCTAGAAGCTGTCTGAAAGGCCTAAAGGACTGACTATAACATGAAGGAGAAAAATGCCCTGGCTAGAAACCCAGATGGGGAGTCCAAAATGCAGGGGAAGATCTTGCTCACACAAAGCCCACTGGACCTATTTCAAACCTGCTTAACTTTATCTTCATGCTGTTTCCCTTTCAGGATCCTCTTAGAGACTCTTTTTTAAATCACAGATATTTGAGATATTCTAATGAAACCTATAAATCCTTTTCCCAAAAAAACTGCACATATACACAAAATTCTGTTTCAGGGCATCTGAGGACGACTGAGGCTCCACTCAGGAGCTAATTACCTGCAGTAACGTTAAGATCCCCTGCTTTAGTCATAGTCCTCGTAGTCCAGCATGAACTAACAAATTCCCTTACAATACACAATCTGGGAGGGAAAGGACAGGTGTGTTTTGTTTTGTTTTTGTCTCAGAGTTAATGAGAAAAGAATTAAATACACAGGGAAGGGATTTCCCTAGAGCAAGCCAAGCCAAGGCGACAGGACCTCTGGGAGGGATGGTGCAAAGAGGATGAATATTGAAGGATGGTCAAACTAGGTGACCTAAGGGGGTCCTTCTAACCTAAAAGACTGATTTGGGAATGCTCGACACCAAGGCAGAGACTCAGCCTGGGGAAGAGCCCATCCCCAAGAAGTGAGTGCTCACAGGACAAACACACCAAACCCCCAGGAGAGGCCCAAACTTGTAATACAATTGCTTTCAGCCATTCTGTATGCAATACTGACTGCAGCCTGCAGCCTAAGGCAAGCAGACAGCAACAGATGTGGAGAGGGAGCCTGTGGTATGGGAAAGGCAATGTTGGGAGTTACAGGTATCGGCTTGGAGACAGAAAGGCCTTCTATCAGTCCCACATGGCTCTACATCTACTGTGAGTGTACTCAAAATGTCTCGCCCTTTGGCTTCTTATACATTTGTGTTCTAACAGTTTAAACTTTTGACACCTTCATAGGTGGAAATTTCCTTTTTTTTAGCAGCTGGCCAGTACAGGAAACCATACCCTTGACCTTGGTGTAACAAGGCTGTGCTCTAACAAATTGAGATAATCGGCCAGCCCCTTAGGTGGAAATTTCTGACTTCCCTCCTTATCCTCCAGGATTGGAAGATAACTGCCTCACTCTGAAGTGAGTGGTGAGTCCCTAGATAATTCCTTAGTGGAACAGCAACACCAATAGATGGAGGGGAAATGTGACTAGTTGGTACTCAATACCTAAGGAGAGCCAGCAGGATGCAACATGGGAACAGGGTATAGAGAATCAGAACATCACAAGAGAGACAACAAGAAAGCATAGCCAGAGCAGGAACCATCAATGGATGAGGGAAATAGACTAGATAGACACAAAGTAGATTACAGTGGTTCCCCAAATCAAGAATTTGTCTTCTACCTCCACAGATTTTGCATTTGTATGCATCAACTGTACTGTAATTTCATAGATCCCCTTAAAAGGACTCTTTTTTAAAAAAAACTACCCTCATCTCAAGGAATAAAGTGCTAGCTATACTTTTCTCTTAAACATATTAGAAAAAGGCATAAGTACTAGTATAAAAATGTTTTCCACATTCCACCCAAAATCACCATGCACCTCAGAGAGGTCCAGGTGCCATACTTTCAGCACATGCTGGTAGCTGGGAGTCCTGAGCCTGAAGTTTGGTCCTGACTCCACCCTCATCTCTCTGCATGACCCCACTGGGAGCCACAGCCTTCCCCATCTTATGGTGAAGGTGAACTAAATGAGTTTTAAAACTGCCCTACACATCTCTGACAATCAAGACTGGCAAATTTCTGTGTAGCTATGTCAAAAGCACCCATCATAGTGACATGTTGGCAAGGCCTTAGAATTTTCCCAGTTTCTGCTCTTTTGGGAGTACTTACAGACAGGGAGAGGGCTAAAGCATCTGGAAGCAGAGGAAGGTGGGGTTGGAGGACAGTCTAGTATAGAAGGAAGAACATCAGATTAGAACCACAAATTACCATTTACTAGCTGAGTTTAAGATTTTTTATTTATTGAATAGGGATAATCATGCCTTTTTTCCCCTCCAATTTACATAAATAGTCCTCAACTTTCATTCAACCTGAACTTTCAAAAATCATACACTGACGATTATATCCTAAACTACTCTTGAAAGCCCCATTAAGACTTGCACGCAAATGCTGGATGACATTTGGACCCTTCCCACAGTCAACAGTTTAGTTTTGGCAACTTTGTGAGCAGAGCCATATTTGTTAAATTATTTAAGAAATGTGTTGCAGGGCCGGCCCGGTGGCGCACTGCTACAGTGCGCCGCTTGGGAAGCCAGGGTTCGGATCCCACATGCGGACCGGTTCCTGCTCACTGGCTGAGAGAGGTGTGGGCACAGCACCGGGGGTTGCAATCCCGTTGTCGGTCCCGGTCCCGTGCGGGCGCGACACTGAGGGTTGCGATCCGTTGCCGGACACGAGAAAAGACAAAAAAAAGGAAAAAAAAAAAAAACCCTTATAATATGGGGAGTTTCAAGAGAGATAATTATATAATGTTCTATTTATTTTATATTTAGATTAAGAGCAAAAAATACAAATAGTTTATAATAAATATAATTAGTAATCCTTTAACTGACACAAAAGATAAAGATGTACAGAAGTACCCAAGTGACAGTTCTGAAAGTTCGATCCAGAGTTCACTGGTCAAGTGTACTCAAATGTAAAGGAACAGAACACAAGTGAAGAACTCTAAAAATGTGTGAGCCAAGACTATGCCTAAAAGGAAAAGTATAGTGAGGGATGTTTGTACTATTTTCTAGCTTTTAGGGAACAGAGCCTGTCCTTATAATGCACAAGTCTGGAGAGCCCGTATTCACCACAGTCAACTTCTGTATATTTTCGGGAACACATTATGTTCAAAATCCTGGTTATACGTTGTCTCATTCCATAAAAGATTTGAGGCATAACACAAAAGTCAAGTGTTTGGATCCCTGTACAGGCCAGCTAACAAAAAAAAAAAAAAAAAAAAAAAAAAAAAAAAAAAAAAAAAAAAAAACAGATTTGCAGCAGAAAAATACAAATAGAAAAATCTGCACAACAGCAAATACAAATCAGAAGGCCAAAAATATAAGATCTGTGCATTTTATTGTGTATCAATGATATCTAAAACATACCTTAATTTTAAAAAGCAAAAACAAAATAAACAAACACTAGCAACAACAGAAATGGGGAAAAGTAGGAATGAAAAATGCAGATGACAGGTTCTGCAGTTACGAAGTCAAACTGAGCTTCCTGCCAGGCAAAGCTAGAAGGAAAACATGACCAGTACCTGACTCTTGATGCACAGGCTTTAGATCTAAGCAGTTAGATCTGAAAACAATTTCTCTTTAGATGCCTTCAACTAGGAACAGTATCCTTGATGACAATACTATAATATGTACATTACCAGTTTTCCTAAGACCACCTTCGTGTATCTCAATGTTAGCCCAGCTGAACACTTCTGTAGCAGGGGTTGGGTAGGCAGGCAATGTAGGTCAAATGAGTACCTTGGAGGCTCAGATGAGAAAAAGACAAAGAGCTCAGGAAACCATGAAGCATGGTACAAGTATCAGGGTCAACTGTTCTAACGCTAAGCTCCAGGTGCATGAGAACTGAGAAGCCTTGATGCTGACTGTGTGGAACTGACTGCCTAGTGTGACTAATCCAGCTGAGCTCAAAGTGGCTCTGGGATCAGTCTTTATCCCAACCCAACTCATAAACAAATGCCTTGGTTACACAGGGGGTATTAACTGAAAAATAACAACCAAGAGCATCTTGGGCATGAGCACTGAACTCCATGTAGCAGGGGCCACTAAACTGGGCCCCAGCATCCACATCTCCTTCATCTTTTAGTCACAGAACCCCAAGTTTTAACTGAGCACATGACTGCCCATATAAGATCTATGTCCCAGCATCCCTTTCAGCAAAGTGTGGCCACGGTGATTTGAGCAACTCCAGGTCATGTCCTTTACAAAAGAAAACTGCTTTTTTTTTCCTCCCTCTCCTTCCCCAGTAGAATGCAGGCATAGAAGAGCCTGCTTGGACCTTGTGGGTAAAAACAACATCCTGGGGGTGGTGGCTGAACAACACAGAAGGAAACCAAGTTCCTGATGTCCTTATAGAGTTAAATCTGCCCTGAACCATCCAATTACCTCTGTATTATTAGATGAGAGAAAAATAAACTTCTATTTAGTAAGAGCCAATGTACTTTCGGTTCTCTGTTAAAGTAGTTTAGCTTGTGGCTTAACATAATTCACAACAGAATATAAAAATGTCAGAAGGAGAGCTCAAGAAACTCAGGCAACAGCCCAGGAAAGTCAATTCACAAATCACTTTAGCAAACAGGTCAGAAAGTGATAGCCATCAAACAAGCTGTACCCCCCCTCCATCTCCAGGATAGAGGCCCAGCCACATCCTCTGAGTAAAGGAAGAGGCTTTTATTACAGCATAGCCCAAACACAAAAATGCAGCATGTCCACTGTGGACCTAGGCCAAATCCTCAATAGTTGGGGATACAGACTGTTTTCCCCACCAACACTAGGCCAGGGACACCCCTGTCCTACCTTTTCCCCTAAAGCAGGAAAGATCCAAACTTCTCCATTCTTCATAATTACACATTCTTGAGGACAGGACAAATCCAGTAAGGCGTGGGATAAAACAGCTGTTGGGGGGGCTATGTGTGAGGGTCAGGGAAGGGGTGTCCAGAGCCCCAGAACAAAAGCCACAGCTGGGAACTGGAGAGGGAGAGAAGCCTCCATGTCTGCCCTGGGTTTCTGGGGTCCAGGGACCTGAGAGTGCAGCACTCACTCCTCCTGTGCAGTACCCTGGTGACAGCACTCAGCCACAGCTGCCAGTCACTAACGAATCCCAGACACCGGCACCTGCTGCTGCTTGCGGATCTTATTGAAGAGTTCCATGTACTGGACCATGGTATCTGCAGGGCTGTAGACCGCATCGTGTCTGTTCCCAAACACTGCAGGAGCCCCCGGTATGTGGCTGCCTAGAAAACTTTGTAGGAACTCGAGCAGCAAGTTCCAACAGTCATTAGCTACCACACAGGGACCATACTCCACCTGGGAACCAAAAAAACAGAGGGTGAGGGTGAGTGAGATCTGCTTCTCTTGTACCTCCTGCCCCCTGTTCCCATCTTCCCCAACCATGAGCCTAAGTCACACGCCTTCTAGCACAGTGTTGGTCCACAGGAAATATTCAACTCAAACAATGGGGATTCACGCACCCAGCATCATTCCCATTATGCGTATTTGACATTGCCATCCTAGATTTGTGCCGACCCACAGCCCTCCCCACAAAACCTAGAGGCAGATCTAGGCCACTTTTGGTTATCTAAGGACTGTGTAGTCCCTGCTTTGCTGGTAACATATCAAGGAGAGCTCAAGAAAATTCTGAGAGACACAATGGAGAGAGAGAGAAAGAAAATGTGTATGAGGGTGAAGGTAGAGGTGGAGGGGTAAGCAGAGGGCAGAGCAGACACACATATACTCAGGAGTCTCTTCAAGACCAAACATTACTCCCAAGGTAGACCCAGCCTGGGCTCTGACCCTAAGAAAGAATTTCCCAACCAGTGTGGCAGGGGCCAAAGGATATACATGTTAGGTTTTCTTATTCCTCTTTCCTAATTTTTCACTGGAGAGATGGCAAGGGGAATTTACTGGTAACCATAAGGAGAAATAAGTAAAGAAACAGGCAGGATAGGGTGTGTTTGTGCTATAAGGTTGGAAATGTGGAGGATAAACAGTGAGTCCCTAGTGGGTCTCAGCAAGTGTGAGGTATATAACCAGCTGAAAGGATAGGAAATCTTGGCCCTAGAGGTTCCTGAGCAGAAACCACCATTAACGCCCTTTTCTTCACCTGGGATGCTTCCTAAACCTACGCATCCACATGTCTCTACGTTTTAAGTCCCTACTTAAATGTTGCTCCTCCAGGAAGCATCACAACCAAAGCAAGCAGTACTCTTGCTGGCCTGAATTCCCACAGCAAACTGTGCCTCTTCTATGGCATTTCTTAGACTGACTTTAATGATATAGTCTGTGTTTCAGCCTTGCTTTCTTACTAAATCATAAATTTTCAAAAGACAGGCCCTGTAAGCTAACTTGTTATTTTTATCTCATATTGTACTGGGTGCACAGTAGGTGGTGGACTTTCATTGATCCCAAACAGCAACTGCCACACTCCCTCTTTGCCATTTTCAATATACTTAAGTCTCAAAAATGAAGTCCACTTGCACACATACTCCTTATTTCTGTGAAAGAAAGCAGACAGCATTTCAAAAGGAAAGGCACATTTTTGCTCCACAACTTTGAGATCTATCTTAAAGCACACTAAGGAGAGGTATGGGGACACATGATTTAGGACCCACCTCCCAAAAGTTGCTCCAAAAGTTGTCCTGGTCTGCTCCAGTCCTTCTTGTGCTGGGTGACTGGTCCCTCCACATCACAACTCACCTTCCTCCCATGACTAACCCTTTCCCTTCTTCAGCAAGCTAGCCTTCCTGAGCTTTCTACTTGCTGTGAACCCAGCTTCCCATTCCCACCCTGGGCTAGAGAAGCCCTGAACAATTAAAGAAAGAGTAAAAGAGTCATGGAAAGCAGGCACAGCTGGTCTGAAGTCAGTGATCGGTCAGGCATAAATATCTGTTTGAATTGAGAAGGACTGGGAAATCTTCAGAGCTCTTTGTTGAGCAGCCCCTTCAGCACTTGCTGCTCCTGTTCCACCAAGATCTTACCTCCACAGAGATGCCCCGGGCACTGGGCCCCATTGTGACTGTGCCCACTTTCACCAGAAAGTCACAGTACTGGTACCGGGTGCCCCGGGTCTCAATCTTGCTGGCCTTGGCACTCTGGAAAAAGCCCTTCAACTTCACCATGAGCACATCAAAGTTGGTGTCGGCAATAAGGCAAGGGCCATTCTCAAAGAGGGCGAAGCAGCTCAATGGATACTCTGAGTTGTGCATCACATACATCAGCTTCCCAGCCTGGCCTGCAAGGGATGGAGATCCCACTTATCAGAGGCTTTTACTGGCAAATCCCAGAATACAGTCAAATGCATGGAGCAAGGCCTGGAGGCAATCTGGCACTACCTCAGCAGTCCTGGAGGAGTGGGGGAATCCCCTTGCGACAAGACTTTTCCAGAGAGGTAAGGAGAGGAGCAGCAGGTGAGGCAGCGTGTGTTAAAACCAACCCTGCTCTACAGAAAAAGGTCAGGGGCACACAGGGAACTTTGATAGTGTTGATTATGGTGTAATTCTTGAGTGGTGGGCTCACAGATGGATGCTTCATTCTGACAAAAATAACTCACACAGACTTTACATGTAATCTCTTGTATATTACCATGTATTACATAACACGTAAAATAAAAGTCACAGCACTCAGGCATGTCAAATGAAGCAGCTGCTCGCTGCTTCTGTCCATCCCTACCTACCTTGGCCTCCTCTCTCTGAGATCTAGGAAACAGTCCTATAGAGCCAGCAAAGGGTAGTATGTAAGCACGAAGTGAGAAAGGTAGGCCAGAGCCAAGCTGTGATAAGGCTTGTCTATCACACCTTGAGAAGTCTGGACTTCATTCTGAAGTCAATGATGAACCCCTAGAGGACGTTATGAAGTCTGGCTGCCTTGGGAAGCAAGCAGCACACTGTAGCAGACAGAACTCAGGACCTGGGATTGGAAGATCTAGTTTCAAGCCCCAGCTCACCCTTTCTAATCTCTGAGAAATGAGTTTTCTCATTGATTTCTATAGGGTTTCTACAAGAAAGAGGGAAAGCTATACATGAGGGTATTTCAAAAAGTTCATGGAAAAATAGAATTAAAAAATGTGAGTCTTTCCATGAACTTTTTGAAGTACCCTCCTATATTTGGTTAAGTAGAAAATGGAAGGAGGCAAAAAAAGAAAAGCAAGATGCCTTTTCATATGCTACGAGTTAATGAATAGACTGTCACAATCCCAAATGTTTATTAGTCACTTAAGCCATCCCCAACATTGTACTAGGGCTTAAGAGACATACTTAACCACTGACTTTAAGAAGGTGACAATCTCAACACCAAGGGGGAAAAAAATAAATAAAAGAAGAAGCTGACAACTTCGCAAGACATAGGCTAAAAAATTTTAAAAAGAAGATCAAAAGACCACAAAGTTAAAAAAAAAAAAAGTTATTACCTGGCAAAGACCAGAAATCTTTTGGAAGGAAAGAAAGACTTCAGGATAGGAAGAGATCAAAGTAGGCATTACCCAGCAGGAAAAAGTTTCATGGAAAAACAGGACTTGAAATGGGATATGGAGAGGGGAGGATTCAACCACATAGAGCATCAGCACCACCTGGGAAGTTGTTAGAAATGCAAATTCTTGTACCCCCTTCCCCAACCTACTGAGTCAGAAACTGTGGGGTAGGGCCCAGCAATCTGTGCCTTAACAAGCCTTCCAGGGGATGCTAATGCTAGTCAAGTGTGAGAACCACTGACCTAAATAGAGCCAACAACAGAAATTTCAGACAGGCCTGCTGACCCCAAGTTTATTGCTCCTTCCATTCTACTCCACTACCTACCAACTAGACTGTAGCTTCTTGAAGGTAAGGGCCTGATCAGGAAAACAGAGCGCACACCAGGTAGTTCCACTAGATATACTATGCCATCTTATATCTATATTCAAATGTTTATTTCCCAAATGCTTTCATAACCATTATCTCTTGATTCTTATATCCTTCCTATTAACAAATGGTAACGCTGCAATTTTAACAATGATGAAACTCAGTAATTTACTAAATATTACATGACAACCTCAGTTCTAAATGCTCTGCATGTATTAACTTATTTAATTAGCACAACACAAGGAGGTAAGTATTATGATCATTTTATAGATGAGAGAACTGTATTGGGAAGAGTCCAAAAACAGAGCCCATAACACATAGTTTCAACAGAGGGAATTTAATACAGGGAACAAATACAGGGGTTGGAAAAACCAAACAGAATGGTGAGACAACCCAAAGACTGGCAACACAGGAAGCCACTACCATACCTTAGAGCTGGAGGAAAAAAGCACTGTTATCAGAGCCAAGAATGAGGGCTGCCTAGTAGGAGCTACAACCAGGGAGGGGATACAGCCATGGCTAGAGACAATGCCCAAAGCAGAGAGACAGGAGTACTGTGGTCTCCCTTTGTCCCATCCTCTAACCTTTCCCAGTGCCTCTCACTGACCAATGATAAATAACTAGAAGAGGGCCTGGAAAATACAGTTTGTAGGGGAAGTGCAGGGAATGGATCTAAGGGAAACAGGCAAATGACTGGCATGGAAACAAGCCACAGGCAGGTTGTGGGACTTACCTACAGTTACACAGTTAGTATGTGGCAAAGCCAGGACTCAGGAGTCTGGCTCCATGATCATAAATACTGTGCTATGGAACTGTCCAAGGTCAAGTTACTGCAGAACTAGGTTCTCTAACTCATATTCAAAGATCCTCTTTCCCTCCGTCTCTACCAACACCACCACCACCCACACCCCAAAGCTGATTCATTGGTTAAGGTTATGCTAATGAGGTGGCCAAGGCCACTGGCTAGGTTCAGGAAAAAAGAAGCCCTTACACAGAAATCTCTAAAACTCTAAAGTTCTAAAAGAGTCACACATGGTACAAAGACCTCTGGGCCTAAAGCAAGTCTTTCTCAAACTTCAGAGTGCATAAGGGTTGTGATATTGTGAAATATTTATTTGATATCTGTCCCATTTCCTGGCATATAACTCCTAAAATCCTTAGTCTCCAAAGTGATGTCTTTTTGTATGCTAATGAGTTAATTGCCAGGATGGCAGCCCCTAAGTAGCTTCAGGATGGGTGCAGGTCACCAAAAAGATCAAGGCAGGATTAGAGGGGTAGGACTTTCAGCCCCACCCTCCAACCTCTGTGGAGGGGAGAGGAGCTGAAGGTTAAGCTCATCGCCAATGATTTAGTCAATCATGCCTGTGGAATGATGCCTCTATAAAAACCCAAAAGGACTCGATTTGGAAAGCTTCCAAACAGTTGAATACATGGAGCTTCCTGGAGGGTGGCACACTCAGTGGGGGCATGGAAGCTCCACATACTTCACCCTATGCATGTCTTCATCTGTATCCTCTGTAATATCCTTTATAATAAACCAGTAAACATAAGTATTTCCCTGAGTTCTGTGAGCCATTCTAGCAGAATAATTGAATCCAAGAAGGGAGTCATGGGAACCCTAATTTATAGCAGGTTGGTCAGAAGCACAGACAAGAAAACCCGGGGCTTTTGATCAAGATCGGAAGTGGGTGGCAGTCTTGGGGACTGAACCCTCAAACTTTGTGACCAGATGCTATTTCCAGGTAGATGATGTCAGAATTGAATTGAATTAGTGGACACCCAGTGGGTGTCCACTGCAGAATTGATGGCTTGCTTACTGTATGGGAAGAAATCCCCACACGTTTGGTCACAGAAGTCTTCTGTGTTCATTGTGATGAGAGAGTAGAGGAAAAACAGATCGTTTTTTCAACAGAAGAATCATCTATGAATCTTCTTAAAATGAAAATTATGAGGTGTGCAACACCAGTCAATCAGTAAGCAGGGCCAGTAAGCAGGAATCTGCACCTTTACCAAGTAACCCACAGACTGGCCAGTTAGCTTAGTTGGTTAGAGCATGGAGCTGATAACACCAAGGTCTCAGGGTTTGATACCTGTACCAGCCAGCTGCCAAAACAGACAAGTAACCCAGGTGATTTTGATGTGGTTAGTTAGAGACCAACCCTTGGAAAAACAGTGCTTTAACAGTTCAAACTGCACAAAACAAAAAACACACAGAAGAACACAAGGAAATTTTTGGAGGTGATGGATATATTTAGTACCCTGGTTGTGGTAAAGGGTGTATGCATATATCCAAACTCATAAAGATGTTTACATTAAATGTGTACAATTGTTTATATATCAATTATATCTCAATAAAGTTAGGAGGAAAAGTTCAAACTGCACAAAGACTAAAATAGCCCCAGTCTAAGAGATGAAGGACCAAGAATTAGTGAATTCAGAAAAACATCTTGCCACATGTTCAATAATACCACCTTAGCAGAAAAGTAGAAAGACTTCAGGGAACATGAATGTCCACTAACTCCAAGCCAGGTTACAGCCATCTTACAGACCCATCTCACTAACCTTGGCTGCCAAGGGTAGAGGCAGCTGTGTGGTAGGTCTCACAGTCCACACAAAATGTTCCTTGCTTCTCTGCCCCAAGCATCTCCAACTTCCGGGTGAGGAGCTCAACGGTCTGCTGGACATTCTTTCCCTCAGCCACAGGCATCTGGGACACACTGCAAAGGTGAGCACCAAGTCATCAGTATCCAGAGACGCACGTGCTTTCGCTGAGCCGCCTACTCTCCCTTAGAATCACAGCTCATCCAGGCCACAAGTTACCCTAGAGAACACCCCCCCACAGACACACCCTCCAATTTAAAGATGAGGAAATAGAGGCCCATGGTCCCTAAGAGCTCCTCTAAGAACTAGAGCACAGGTCTCAGGACCCTCACACCAGGGCAACAAACTTCCAATCACACCAGCATTTCCCAAGCATGGCACGTGTGCCAATGTTCAAGTGAAGATTCCAGGTGGCACACAGTAAGCATTCAGTAACACTGAGTCATATGAGAATACTTCAGAAAGTTTGTGGAAAAATAGAATTGAAAAATAATCTTTCCGTGAACTTTGAAGTACCCTCATATAATAAGAAAGAGATTCCTTTTGTAGTTCTTTCAGTTCTAACTATATCAAGGAGAAGGTCTCAGTTTGGGGTTAGTATGTTTTTATCAACTCTTTGAACTTGAGGTGTCTAGTACAGAAGCTATGAGCCACATGTGGCTGAGGGCTAGTGTACTGGACAGTGCTGATATGTAACATTTCCATCATTGCAGAAAGTTCTATTCAACAGCCCTAAGAATAAAGAGAAAGCAAGCCTCAAGTTTACAATCTTCGGGAGAGGCAACAGCATTTACAAGAATTTAATCAAGACAATAGAACAACCACAACAAAAAATGTTATTTACAAGTTTTCCTTAGCCTATGGTGAATGAAACTGGCTTCCACTTTAGAGCTGAGAGGTAGCAATTGCCATTCACCAACTATGTGCCAAGCAGTGCCCTTAGCTCTTTGGATGAATTAACTTTTCAAATCCTCACAAGAGCCCTATGAGAGGTGCTGTTACTTATCAACTTGTTACAAATGAGGAAACTTAAGTACAGAAGAGGTTAAATAACTTGCACAAGGCAACATGTTAGTTAGATGGTAAAGCCAAGAATCAAAGCCAGGCAACCCAGCTCCATATCCATGCCCTTAACCACTATACCACACTGCCTCTCTAGGGTCCTCTCTAGGGATGTAGTTGCCTGTTAAAATATTTTTAAGGGAAACAGACAGATTTTTAAAAATTAATAAATAATACAGGTAGTAATTAGTTATATAAAAATAATGAAGACAGTCATATATGACTGAATTTTGGGAGATAGTACATTACTTTACAATCAATGAACTAAAAGAACCTATTAAGGAAGAGTCCTGCTGATATAGGAGGTGCTCAGTTTCCCTGGGCTCAGGTTTCAGGACAGGCCTCTGAGTTTCCAGCCATTTCCTGAGGTCTCAGGCCCCCTCCTCTGAGACCCCCCCCCCCCAGGAAAGTTACTGTTGCCAGTTAGATATATTTTTAGCACCAACACAGGGAAAATGAGATCACAGGGGGCTGGTTTATGCAATTCAGTGGCTGGGCATGCTCAATAGAGAGCACAGAACATTCTGGCACATATAACTGTGAACCACCCCTTTGACTGAATATTCGTTAGATAAAGAAACTATAAAAGCCAAATCCCAGCAGGAGGTGGGGTTGTTGCTCACTTTCCTGGAAGTAACCTACACTTTGCTGGCGGAGGTGTGTAAAATTTTACTTTGTATTGAACTTACTTTCAGCAAGCAGCTGCTCATTCTCTTGAGCCAGCCTGCACTTTGTACTAAACTTTAAGTATGTTTTTCTTGCTTTTTGTGTTAGACTTGATGTCTGTACAGAACTTACTTTTGTGTTAAACTTGGTGTGGACTCTGCTTAGTCTCTGGAGCTATGCTGTACTCTTCGCGGAACCTGTATTTCTTAATCGGTTTTATTAAACTTGTTCTCATTGTGTACTGTGACTCTGCCCTTGAATTCTTTCCTGTGGCAGAGTCAAGAACCTAGTAAGAGGACAGGGTGGGTTGAGGCCGACAAGGGAGCCCCCAGACCCTGCCTCCGACATCACTACTGTTGTTAAAAATTGTCACTCCTCTCTACCAGAAAAAGCACTCCTGAACCATGCTGATGATGTGCCTTGTTTTGAAATATAAGAGAATACCTAAACTGCTGCTAGGAGGGGCAGAAGTCCTAGGATCCTGAAAAAGTTGATAAGGGTGCCAACCGACAGAGAGCCCTTTCCCGGGCTGCCTTCTCTATTGAAAGAAAAGGGGCTACCAGGGTTCCAAGTCTCTACATAGCAACCTTTTCATTTCCATCACACACGCGCATGCACACACATACATCCTTATACTATAACATCCACTGTGGGAAACAAGTGGAATCACGGGCCGGCCCGTGGCTCACTCGGGAGACCGTGGTGCTGACAACACCAAGCCAAGGGTTAAGATCCCCTTTCCGGTCACCTTTAAAACAAAAAACGAAAACAAAAAACAAGTGCAATCATTGAGAAACCTGCTAGAATCTGGGCTACCAGGAGGAAAAGTACTTCCCACACACATGCTTTCATATGAGAAGCCTATAGCCAGTGACTTCAGATATCCTAGCCTCCAGATGTTCACATCTACCAGGAAAAAAAAAGAAGTCCTGAGACCTAGCACCTTGGAACTAACGCCTCCCCAACAGCACTTGGCCCATGTTTCCCCACAACGCCTTCCTCCAACCGAGACTTACAGCATGTTAGGGTTAAAAAACCATCGAAAGTATATCAACCATGCAATTAAACATTGGTCCTGAAGAGGTAAAGTATCTGGAACCCCGATCTCTTAAGTCCCAGTAGCTTATTTCCGCCCCCCTAGACCCAAGATCTTAAAATGGCCAAATCAGAAGCAGACACAGGTCGGTCTAACTGCATTTGGTGGCTGTAGGGAACGGCAGGTCAAAATCTAAAAAAAATCCTCGTTGCCGAGCCCCCACCCCCTCCAGCTCTGTCTGCAGATGGGTTCTAGTGCGGAGGTCCTATTTCCGACCCTGAAGCCCCACTCCCGGCAGTACCACGAACTCACGAACAGGAAGATGTACCTAGAAAAAGGAAAGGAGGTCCACAACCATTGATGGCCTGGAATAAAACCTTTGCCCTGTCGCCTTCCAGGAGAAAGGGGCGCATCTCCGAGGAAACAGGCCCAGAGAACCCGCGGCCCCCATGATGTCCCGTCATCCACACAACCCGAGGACATCTTGCTCAGCTCCCAGGGGACGGCGGACCTTGGTCCCAATCCTCCTTGCGGGTCCACTCCAGGCTCCAAGGGCCCTTCACAACCCCAAGCCCCGTCCCCCAAAATCCCTTGAAGTCCTACCAAGTCACTCCCATGGTGTGCGGCCAGGAAGGTGGCAGGATTAAGCAGTTGAAGCTCAATGCTCTTCGGCCGCCCACGTTCACTGAAGCCCCCTAACGCAAGCTTCGGTCGCGGGAGGGGCTCCGGAAATAACGTAAAAACGAAGCGCGGGGTCGACACGCCCCCAGGGAGCAGGGGCGTGTCTGGGCACCTCCTCGGCGACGCCTCAGTGACATCATCCGTCCGATACCCGCCCCCAGCTTGGTAGCTGCGAAAATTCCCGTTTGGCTGGGCACCCCAGGCCTAGATCCATGAAGCTAGGAAGTCATGTCTCGGACTGCCACCATGTAGAGGAGCCAGCGACAAAGGCTATGAACTTATTCGGGAGTCTAGCTCCAGGAACCGGGTGCTCTTTTAGGAGTGGGGCTGCGCTGGCGGCACTTCTGTCCTCCGAACGCCAGGGGTCGCTGTGATCGCTGTGTGGCCTCTTGGGAACCGGGAGCTCAGTGCGCAAGCGCATTCTGGGCTTGTCCCCGTCCCCACGTGTGAAACTTCTCGGCAAATTTTTGGTGAAAAATGCCCAAATTCAAGGCGGCCCGTGGAGCCGGGGGTCAGGAAAAACATGTGCCCCTGGCCGACCAGATTCTGGCGGGGAACGCGGTGCGGGCGGGGACCCGAGAAAAGCGGCGGGGTCGTGGAACCGGAGAAGAGGAGGAAGAGTATGTGGGGCCCCGGCTGAGCCGGCGGATCTTGCAGCAAGCGCGACAGCAACAGGAGGATCTCGAGGCCGAACATGGGACTGGGGGCAGGTCCGCCGCGCCGCGGGAGCGCACCACGCGTTTGGGTGAGTGTCAGGGGGTGGGGGGCGAGGAAGAGAGTGGTTAGTTGGGGTGGCGTTTGGAGAGTGGACGGCTAGAAGGTGTCCAGCAGGGGAATAGCTTGAACTCAAGAAAGGGGTCCATATTACATTCTTGCAAAGGTAATGGAATGGGAGACGGAGCCCTGGCCACAGCCCTCCACGCCCACTCCTAGTTTCAGGCACTCCCTTCTAGGCACCCCTGAAGTTAGGCCAACAGGAAGTGATCGCTCACGCCACTGAGTCTTGGCATTTATCCATTGATTTTGTAAATATTTGTGGGATGCCTACTACTAGCTTCGCATTGTGCTAGGCGTTTGGATGGTTTGGGTACAAAAATAAGACAGAAATGTGTCTGACTTTAGGGCCTTACAGTCTAGCCCAGGACAGAAACGATTAAATGGACAATTAGAATAATATATTCCATGATTTTAAAAAGTGTTGTTTTCATGAGAACAATAGCATTAGTCTTGGGGGTCAGGCTTCCCAGATTGCTTTCCTTTAAGCTGAGACCCGAAAAATGAATGAGTGTTCCAGCAGGGGGAAAAAAAAGTGTTTAGGGGCCAGAGAGGGAGAGAGATGACTTGAAGACTTTGGTATTTTCTCACTAGAGAGCCAGTATTGACCTCTGAGTTGCTTAATCCATTTCTCAGACTTCATCTTATTTGTCCTAAAATCAGTATTTGACACAATGGCATACTGGCCTCCTGACTACAGTATCTTTACTTGGTTTTCAAGACATCACACTCCTGTTTTACTGCTACCTCACTTCTCAGTGTCCTCTGCTGACTCTTACTTTTCCCCCAACCTCTTGTCATTGAAGTGCCACAGGGTTTGGTCCTCAGACCTCTTCTCTTCTAATACATACACTCTCTTCTCTGGTGCTGTCATCAAGTTTTATAGTTTAAATACCATCTATTTGGTGACTAATTCTAACTTTATATTCTAGTCCTGATCTCTTTTATGAAACCCAGATGCTTATGGCATCTCCAATTTGAACTCTAGGAGACATCTCAAATTTATTATGTCCAAAACAGAAATCCTGACCTTTTCCCCAAACCTGTTCCTCCACTGTCTTCCTCATCTCAGTTGGTAGCAGAATATCCTTCCATTTGCTCCAGTCAGAAACCTTGGACCCCTTTTTTTCTCTGTCACTCCACATCTGACCTGTCAGGAAATTCTGATGGCTCTGCCTTCAAAGTGTATCCAGAATCACACCACTTTTCACCATCTTGGAACACCATCCTCTTCAAGCCACCTGATCTCTTACCTGGATTATTGAACTAGCTTCCTAGTTAGTATCCCGGATCCCCTATGGTCCACTCAACAGCTAGAGGATTACAGTGGTCTACAATACTCTGTATGATTTGTCTCCTTTGCCAGTCTGACCTATTCTACTACTTCCCCTTATGCCCTCTCCACTCCACCTATACGGGCTTCATTGCTTCTTAAACATGGGAAATTAGGGCCTTTGCCCTGGTTGCTCCTTCAGCCTGGGGTATTCTGTTCCCATAAACCTGTAGACTTACTTCCTCAATTCTTCACCTTCTCAAAGAGGCCTGCCCAATATTTTAACCCAATATATTTATGTATGTATTATGTTTGTTTATGTCTGTCTTCTCCAATTAGAATCTAAGCTCTATAAAGGCAGAAATTTTTATTTCTCTTGTTCACTGATATATTTCCAACAACTAAAACAGTGCCTTATGTATAGTAGGCACTCAATGTTTACTGAATGAATGGATTAATGAATGAAGGTGAGGTAGGTACAAGACAAGCCTACAAAAGACTTTAAATGCCCTGGATTTAAAGTCATCCTAACAGCAATGGGAAGCTATTGGAGAATTCTGAGTATAGGACTGACCAAATCAAATGTGTGTTTCTGAAAGACTACTCTGGCTGCAGAGTGGAGAACGAGTTGGAGGGAAATAAGGTCAGAAACATGGAGACCTGTTGGAGGATTGTTGAATTAATCCAGGTAAGAAATGGTGCTGATCTATCCAGGCTTAAATAGGGCTGTGAAGGATTTGAGAGACAGTCTATGAGGTAGAATCGAATAGGATTTGATATTCCTATTGGGTGTTGAGGGTGAGGGCAGGGACAAGGCAGGACTGCCTCCCAGGTTTAGTGTTGGGTGCCATTTACTGAGCTGTGGAACACAGTGAACAGAGTAGACCTAGGAGGGAAAGAGAATGAGTTTAGTTGATGAAGGGTGAAATCTGAAGTGCCTGTGGGTCATCCAAGAGTGGTTGTACAGGAGGCATCTGCAGTTAGGATCTAGCACTAAAGGGAGATCACCTACAAGTACAGATTTGGGAGTTGTTGGCCCCTCCCCTCACCCATTTAGCTTTTATAACACGCCCCCCCCCCTTTTTTTTGGCAGCTGGCCTGTATGGGGATCCAAACCCTCCACCTTGGTGTTATACCACCAGGCTTTAACCAACTGAGCTAACTGGCCAGCCCCTGCCTCCTTTCTTAATAACCTGTTCGTATGTAGCATTTTACCTCCCTGCTTGGATTATTAGACCTCTTTCCAGATGCTCAGACAGCTGTAGCCTTCCAAGAATCAATTAAAATATGTTGGTCAACTGAAATCAAACTCCACTGCCTGGCCTTCAAGGCCCTCCAGTGTGGCTTTTCCCATCTAGCACTGTTTCTTGCTACTGCCCAACAGACACTCTTATAACAAACCCTTTTTCCTGTGTTGTTACCCAGGTCCAGAACATAATCCTTCTGCTCCCAAACTGCCTGTCAGGAGCCTAACCATCCTCAGCACTCATCTAAGTGTTTAGAGTATATATTGTCTCTACCACTGCTTTTGGCATATAATCAAGCCCTATTGTGTGTGCACAGTCTAGACCCAGACTACCTGCCTTAGGCAAATTACTTAAACTTTTGTTTGCCTCAATATCCCCATATGAAACTGGGTATAATAATAGTAACTATTTCTTGAGAATATGAGAGTTAACCAATTAACATGTGTGCAGTGTTTAAAATAGTTCTTGCTACATAACTGAGCATGGTGCATTCATTATTATTTCCTATGGTTTTGTGTTTATAAATTTTGTTTGCCAAACAAGATTGCAGGCCCCTGGGGACAGAAGATAATATATGCCCCATCTATTTCATTGCACACATTTGTGTCTATTACCAGCATATGCAAGGCCTATACTATGTAATGGTTAAAGTCAAATTGACTCTAAATCCTTCACCCACTCCTTATTGGGCTTATCCATCTCATCTCCCCTCTTATAGGCCCAGGAGTGCCTCAGGATGGATCAGATGACGAAGACGAGGAGTGGCCCACCCTGGAGAAGGCTGCCATAATGAAAGGGGCAGACCACCATGCAGAGGTGGTCGTGGACCCTGAGGATGAACGTGCCATTGAGATGTTCATGAACAAGAACCCTCCTGCAAGGTACAGCTGGGATTTGGGATGGTGGGTCCTGGTAGAAAGTTCCCACAGGGAAGCAAGTACCGTGGCAGACTTTTGATTCCCTACCTTTGGAAAAGGCCTGGGCATTGCTAGTTGTAGGGGAACCACCTTGACAAAACTGGCCTATCCTCAAAGGACTATTCTGAGTGGGAATAACCCAGACTCAAAATACCCCTTCCCCTTTTGTCCATTTGTTCTAGAACTGCCTGGATTACCGAGAGAAACAGCTACAGGCCCTTTTTATGACTCTGGGGAGATCTACCCCACTGCATTTGGTCTTGGTATGCTCAGTTTTTTAGTGGTAAACTCAATTTCCATGGACAAATCTCTGTCATACCCTAAGCTTCATTCATACCCTAAGCTTCATTTAATCCAGGGTTTTTCATCCTCAGCACTATTGGCATTTGGAGCTGGTTAATTCTTTTTTGTGGAAGCTGTCCTGTGCAATGTAGGAGGTTTAGCAGATATCTCTGACCTCCACCCTCTCTACATACCAGTAGCAACCTTTCTTGTACTCGTGATAACCCAAAATGATTCCGGACATTGCCAAATGTCCCCTGGGGGGCAAAATCACCCCTAGTTAGAACCACTAATTTATTCCAATCTATAGTAAATGCTAGCTCCAAAACATGTAGACATTTAGGTTATCTGTGGTCAAATTCCTGATCCCATGGATTTTGGCCCTGGGAAGGGGAGTCTAGGATAAGGGCCCTCAATCAGTTCATTCTGATCCTGTGATATTAACACGATGTCCTTGATTCTTAAGCTATTTTGAGTTAATGTAGCTCTCATTGCTAATCATACTGTAAAAAGACAGGGAGACTGAATGATAAATTCTGTGGTAGCTTATTTGAGAGCACAGAATGAAGAAATGAGCCCTTCTTCTGGACTGATGACTAACAACTGAAATAGAAGTCACAAAGTGTGCACTTGGGCATGTGTGCTTATTACACCAGAGAGCTCTCAGGTTCTCACTCAGTGCCTCATCAGTCCTACTTCATAGATAATTCTGATGACCTTAGCCAAATGGTTTTCCAGCATATAGTATAAATAGAAGAGATAAGCTACTAGAAACAGGGGCTCCTGGCAGTCTTGAGAAATGATAGCTGACATCTTCAGAAAGCAGGCCTAGGTCCACATGAATTCAGCATTCAGAGGCCATTCAGTTGTGGGCACATTATAGGGTACTGCACTTGAACTTTAGAACCTGAAAGACCTGTGACTCTTTCCCCCCATTTAACAGCTGTGAGACGTCGGGTGAGTTATTAACTTCTGCAAACGGGCAGTAAAAGCACCTCCCGTAAGTGTTGCATGGACTATATGACATATCTGGAAAGTCCCAAACTCAGTGCCTGGCATTTGAGTAGGCCCCCAGAAAACAGGAGTAGTTTTAAATACACTTCAGCAGACTCTGAAGACACCATTATTACACCACAGCCCAAGGTGATGGTAATTCTGAATCATTAAGAGAAGAATATGTGTGATATACTCTGCTTAAGGAGGCTGAGAATAATATAATCAGTCTCAGAAATATTTCCATAGATTTTAATTTTAATAAATACAAATAGGGGAGAATTCGTGCCATAGTCTGTCTCTAATGATCCCAGCTACTTGAAGTCTTGGTAGATAATTGAGATGTGTCTGGCACTCTAGAAAGGTCAGACCAGGGGTCTGTAACTGGAGAGTCACCAGCACATGACGGGTGTGTTTGAAATGGGCCACATTCATTAGGCAAATGCTGTGAACTGACAGTTCCAAGTAACGTATATGCATTCACTTATTTAATCCTTACATTAACCTTATAAGGTAGATACTGTTATTACCTCCGTTTTACAGATGAGGAAACTGAGGCATAAAGAGGTAAAGTAACATGACCAAGGTCATACAGGGAGGAAGAGCAAGGATTTGAACTTGGGCAGACTGACATCAAAGTCCAGGTTCTTTTTTTTGGCAGCTGCCTGGCATGGGGATCTGAACCCTTGACCTTCGTGTCATAACATCATTCTCTAACCAGCTGAGCTAACCGACCAGCCAAAGTCCAGGTTCTTAACCTTCACATGACTGCCAGCTTTGTCCTAAGTTGACTTTCGGGTCCTTCACACTCTGCAGCAATTCTGTGGTGGGTGGGTAGGTGGGTGCAGAGGGGCACTGAGGCCGCACACACATCCCAGTAGGATCACAGTTTGTCAGTGCTCACAGGGACTGTGTGGAGAGTCTGGAGCTTCCTGGACAGTGACCACAGCTCGTTTTCCTCCTTTCTCCCCTTGGCGGCACCACCTCTTAGGCGCACCCTGGCTGACATCATCATGGAGAAGCTGACTGAGAAGCAGACAGAGGTTGAGACGGTCATGTCAGAGGTGTCAGGTTTCCCTATGCCCCAGCTGGACCCCCGGGTCCTGGATGTCTACAGAGGAGTCCGGGAGGTAAGAGCTGAGAGGAGTAGAATACCACTACAGGGGCAGTGGGCCTCGGGCTTTGGTGCCCACGTCTGTACTGCATGAGGCATGGTGGCAGAGTGTGTGGGTTCAGATTCCTGCTCTGCCTCTTAGTGACTTGGTAACCTTGGGTAAGTTACCAAACTCTGATCATCTGTAAAACAAGTATAATAGTAGCACCTCCTTACAGGATTGTTGTAAGGACTGAATGAGTTAATATATGAAAAGTGCCCAGACAAGTACCCTGCCCATGGCAAGTACTATCAATATTAATGATGATGATGATGATTTTACCTCCCTTATTCCCAGGTGTTATCTAAGTACCGCAGTGGGAAACTGCCCAAGGCATTTAAGATCATCCCTGCACTCTCCAACTGGGAGCAAATTCTCTATATCACAGAGCCTGAGGCCTGGACTGCTGCTGCTATGTACCAGGCCACCAGGTAGAGCAGATGGGGGTTCAGTGGCTTGGGTCTGTAGGTGAGGGCGGCTGGGTGTGGGATCAAAGACAGTGTTCACCCTGTTTAGGTACATCTTGTTGTCCCTCTATAAGGGTAAAACAAAACACAAACTTTTTTCTATATATAGTCTCTTAACAGTCAACACACACAGAAGACAGACTTCTGACTTCTGTGACCAAATGTGTGGGGATTTCTCCCCACTGGCAAACAAGCCAGCAGTTCTCCAGGGGACACCAGCTGGGTATTCTCTAATTCAATTCTGACACTATCTACCTGGAGATAGTGTCAGATCCCACAGGTTGAGGGCTCAGTCCCCAAGACTGCCCTCCACTTGCCAGTTGCAAGTTCAGGCCTGTAGAACTTCTGACCAACCAGCTATAAATAAGGGTTCCCACAACCCCCTGTTTGGGTTCAGTTAATTTGCTTGAGAGCTCACAGAATTCAGGAAAACACTTGCATTTACCAGTTTATTTTATTTATTTATTTATTTTTTAAAAAGATGACCGGTAAGGGGATCTCAACCCTTGGCTTGGTGTTGTCAGCACCACGCTCAGCCAGTGAGCAAACCGGCCATCCCTATATAGGATCCGAACCCGTGGCCTTGGTGTTATCAGCACCGCACTCTATCAAGTGAGCCACGGGCCAGCCTGCATTTACCAGTTTATTATGAAGGATAATACAAAGTATACAGATGAAGAGGTGCATAGGGTGGGGTATGGGGGAAGATGCGTGGAGCTTCCATGCCCTCCCCAGGTACTCCACCCTCCAGAAATCTCCACATATTCAGCTATCTGGAAGCTCTCCAAACCCAGCCTTCTTTGGTTTTTTATGGAGGATTTATTACATAGGTATGATGGATTAAATCATTGGCCATTCATGATCAACTTAACCTTCAGTCCCCTTCCCCTTCCTGGAGGTTGTGGTCTTTCCTGTCACCAGCCCCCATCCTGAAGCTACCTAGGGGCTGCTACCCATCATCAGCATTCAAAAAGACCCATCACAGGGGCCGACAAGTGGCTCACCTGGGAGAGTGTGGTGCTGATAACACCAAGGCCACGGGTTCGGATCCTATATAGGGATGGCCGGTTTGCTCACTGGCTGAGCGTGGTGCTGACAACACCAAGCCAAGGGTTGAGATCCCCTTACCGGTCATCTTTAAAAAAAAAAAAAAAAAGAAAGAAAGAAAAGACCCATCATCTTGGAGAGTCTAACAATTTCAGGAGTTGTATATTAGGAGACAGGGATGAAAACCAAACATACATTTTTATAATATCACACCCTCATGTTCTCTCTTTAAGCTGACCTGGGTGTTTGTATTAGTCTGTTTCGTGTTGCTATAACAGAATACCTAAGACTGGGTGATTTATAAAGAAAAATTTATTGCTTACAATTGCTGAGGCTGGGAAGTTGAGTCCATCTGGTGGTGGCGACTATGACCCGGGGGTCTCACATTGCAAGAAGGTGGAAGCAGAGAGAACAGAGAGACAGATTCTACTCCTCTTTTAAAGCCCTCAGAACCACACCCCTAACCACCATTTGTCATCCATTCACTATGGCATGGTCCTACAATCCAATCACCTCTTCGAGGCTCCACCTTTCAATTACCATAATAGGATCTCCCACACTCTTAACAGTCACAGTGGGAGCTAAGTTTCTAACACATAAAACTTGGGAGACACAATTCAAGCTTCAGGGAGTTTTGAGGGGACATAATTCAATCCACTACAGTGTTGCCCATAGGCTCTCACACCCCCAACTGAGAGAATGGTTCCATATCTTACTTTAAAATCTCTTGCATGCACCATCCACAGTGACATTTAAAGGGCCAGGTCCAGATTATCATGTGGGAACTCTTCCTCTTTCCCCTCCACTAGGATTTTTGCCTCTAACCTGAGGGAACGCATGGCCCAGCGCTTCTACAACCTTGTCCTGCTTCCCCGGGTACGAGATGACATTGCCGAATACAAGCGACTCAACTTCCATCTCTACATGGCACTCAAGAAGGCCCTGTTCAAGCCTGGAGCCTGGTTCAAAGGTGGAAGCCCAGAGGCAGGGAAGAAAGGGAGGGGCTGGAGTTCCTACAGGTGAAAGCAGCACACCTGACTTGGGAAATGGTTCTCTCAGGCCATGCTCCAGTGACTGTCACTGGGATGGGCAGGGGTGCTTCCTGCTGTACCTTCTTTCTCTCATCCCAGGCTCAAAGTGAATACCCTCTGACTCTCCCCAGGGATCCTGATCCCATTGTGTGAGTCGGGCACTTGTACCCTCCGGGAAGCCATCATCGTGGGTAGCATTATCACCAAGTGCTCCATCCCTGTGCTGCACTCCAGGTAGTGTTGGTGGGGGTGGAAGAGGACTGGTCAGTGGATATCAAGATAATGGAATTGCTGGGACTTGGGGATGGGAGGCAGAGTGGGGAAGGAGCTAAGAATGGCCCTGGGTGTGTGGCTTGTTTAAGCTAGTGGGGGTATCATTACGCCTCTAGAATGTAAGCTCCACAAGAACAGGATCCCAGGCCATGGCACATGGTAGGTACTCCATAAATAGTTGAATGAATGAATAGGGAACACAGGAAGAACTTAAGTAATGGGTGGAGATGTTGAGACATTTGGACACACTCTTGGTTGGATACTGAGACAAGTGGTCTAAGCCAGAGGTAAAGATTTGCGGTGAATCCATGTAGAGATAACTGAAGTCAAGGGAGTGTAATAAGATTGGATAGGTGAGAAGGCCTGAGGTGGCCCCCTTAGGAATACCATAGTGTAAGGGCCAGCAGAGGAGAAGTAGGATCCTCCTTCCAACATTTCCTCTACAACTGATCCCACCCCACTTCTCTCTCCCACCAGTGCAGCCATGCTGAAAATTGCTGAGATGGAATACAGTGGTGCCAACAGCATCTTCCTACGACTGCTGCTGGATAAGAAGTATGCACTGCCGTACCGGGTGCTGGACGCCCTGGTCTTCCACTTCTTGGGATTCCGGATAGAGAAGCGGGAGCTGCCTGTGCTCTGGCACCAGTGCCTCCTGACTTTGGTTCAGCGCTACAAGGCAGACTTGGCCACAGATCAGAAAGAGGCACTCTTGGAACTGCTTCGGCTGCAGCCACATCCACAACTGTCCCCCGAAATCAGGCGTGAGCTTCAGAGCGCAGTCCCCCGAGATGTGGAAGATGTTCCAATCACCATGGAGTGAGGAAAGCTTACCTGTCCTGGTCTGAGGGGTATGAGGGGAAACCAGGACCCTACTGGTGACTAAAGATGACACTGAGCCTTTATGGCTCAAGACCCAGATCAGGGCAGTGACAGGTCACAGGGTCATCTGTGGCTCCCAGTCCTGGGACCTGACTTGAGATTCCATGTGCCGGCACTCCAACTCCCCAGCCAGGTTTGATATAAGTACTTTCTCTCCGGCTATTGTGTCAATTCACTGGGATGTGGATAAAAACAAAAAGGTATTTATTGAACCTCTGTGGTTTGGTGTATCAATGGAGGTCTTTCTACTTTCCCTCTTTAGCTGCAAGTCCCTGTGTTGTCTCAGGAGTGAATTCTTACCCAGTTTACACAGGACCCCCATGTAATCTACAAGTTTTTCTCCAGGCTGCACTTGCTTTATTAGCCCCCAGGGGCACATTCTCTGCCTTCTCCTGACATGATACAGGCTACTTTAGTAAAGTGCCAGCAACCAGGAGCAGGTTGTTCAAAAGATGGTTGTGTCTCAGGTGTGGGTGAAAGGGCTTCAGCAGAAAACTCCTTTTCAAGGACAGCAGAGAGACAAGTAAGGTCAGAGGATAAGGTTGGGCCCAGGAAATGATTAGATTGGGATCAGCACCAAACAGGTTCGTTCCCTTTCTAGCTTTTTGGCCATTGAAATCCAGTGGTTGGCAAACTAGGGCCAAATGCCTGTTTTTGTGTGGCCTGTGAGCTAAGAATAAATTTTATATTTTCAAATAGTTGGGGGAAAAAATTAAAAGAACAGTATTTGTGACAAGTGAGAATTATGTGAACATATTTCAGTGTCCACAAATAATGCTTTATTGGAACACAGCCATGCCCACCATTTACATGTTTTCTGTGACTGCTTTTGTGCTACAACAGCAGAGTTGAGTATAATCCTGCTATAAATCCTTGTTATCTTTGAAAATGCACATTTGTTCCAACCCAGTTAATATTTGGGAACAGTTTGATCATAGCGCAAATTTCACATTTGCCTATGCACGATTTTATCCTTTAGGAACACTAGGTGAATGCAGAAAACTGTACCCAGTTAAACTACACCAAATTAATAAACAAAACCTACGTACCCAAAACCTTATGAGCTACCCCAGCTCACCCCCGGTGTTGTGAGAGGCACACGCCCCATGGCTGGTGTTAGCGCTGTCCTTGCCACTTCAATAACACGCTGCAGCCCTGCCCACGTCCGCTTCCACAAGCATGCTTCTTGTCTCTTTTGAGATAAAGGGTCATATTTATTGTAGTGTTTCCTATCCATTTAATGTGTAAAAACTATGCTATCCTCTTTATTTCCTTTTTTTAAAAAAATGTGTCATCAAGGTTTTGAGTGTTGTGCCTCAAGCCCCACTTTTCTCATCAGCACTGTGGTTTGTTATGCAATTTGGTACAGCATAGTGATTTTTAGGAACACATATATCACATATTTGAGGCAGAGACAATATGGTCTGCAAAGCCTAAATATTTACTTGTCCTTTACAGAAAAGGCTTGACAATCCCTGCTTTAGACCACTGAGTTCCCCATCCTTACCTCATGCATTCTAATTAGAAGTAGGATTTTTACCCCCAATACCATTCAGTCCAAGAAGCCAAAGCCAGTTTTATTCCAGAATCTTTATTAAGGTAGCATGATGGTCCTGGGCCACCAGCCTAAACCTTGTGGCCTTAGGAAAGACCTGTGTCAACAGGGCTTGCCTCCCTCTCCAGACGGGATCAGCCACCTCCAGCGCATCCCTGCTGTATCCATCCCCCTGGAAAATGAGCAGGGGGCCAAAGGAGAGGAGGGCATGACCCCACCCCAGGCTGTAGCAGCTCCTTGGCCACGAAGATCCTCTAGTCAATAGCACAGGGGAGGGAAACAGCAACCACCAGGGTTACCACCAGTTGGGCAGACAGGCCCCACTATACCCTCTTACTCAAAGCAATTAATAAATTAAAATGACCTCTTCCTTCAGCACTGAACAGCAAGGAGGAATCTGTTGGTTCCTACCCTAACAGAGGCCTAGGCCCCTCCCTCTAGGAGCAACTGTGACCATGGGTTGTACAGGGGTCTCCAAAGTGCTGAGAATAGTCATCTATACTATCTTCTCTAACATGTCTATCAGAGTGCCTGAAATTTCATCTTCAGAAGGACCCCAATCCAATTGCAATAACCCTAGAAGGGGCAACACCTTTAGAAGGCACTGGGGTATTTTGGCAATTGAGAACCTGAGAGCTCCAGAGAGAGGGGGTCTCAAAAAGGAATCCTGGTGCATATATTTTACCTGTTTCAATTGTGTCTGACCAGCCTGGCCCATCCCCAGCTAGAGTCAGGGAAGGAGCTGAGCTGGTTAGGTGCAGGAAGGAGGAGCTTGACCAGCCATCCAAACACAGACATGGCTGGCCAGGCCCCTTACTGCACACTGTCGGGTAGGGGGAACAGGAGCCCCTTCAGGCTTCAGATGTGATGTGGTATGTTCCTGGAGGCAGGGAAGAGGGGGCAGCGGCCCCTCCTCTGCTTAGTGGCCACTGGAGGGGGCCTCTCCGAGGCTACAGGTGGATGGCCGTGACATCTGTGGGAGTGCTGGTCTGGCTGGGCCCTTGGCTGCTGGTGCCTCGGGGGGCTTTGGGTGCTGGACTTGGGGTGGTCTGGGCTGCTTCCCTGAGGCTCTCCCTGAGCGCAGCTTCAATCTGCTCCTGACAGGCCCGCAGGCAGTCCTGGGAACAGGGCAACAGTGAGGGGGGACCGTTCCCACCATAGCAGCAGGTGCAGGGGAAGGCCGCCTCCCAGCACACAGGGAAGTCTGAGCAGGTTAGGCCACAGCCCAGCCCCAGGAATAGGTCTTCAGTTCTCAGAAACTGGCAAGAGGATGTGGCAAGAGGGTGTGAGAGCAGCCCAGCATCTGACACCCCCACCCACTCCAGCACACCAGTTGGCAAGAAAAGGGCACCTAGGCCAGGGTCCTCCACCCCACCCAAGACACTTGCTCTTCTTCAGACCCAGGCAGGAGATAAAAGGCCACAGAAGTCACAAAGGTGTGAGACCAGGAGTCAGGACCAGGTTGGGGATGGACGCCTCCCTCTACTGGAGGCTCAGGGAATAGCACTGCTTCATGAAAGGAGAGGCTGCTGCCTAGCTGCCAGCTAGCTGCCCAGCACTCACCACTTCAGTGCCTGTGATCCCTGCCAGCAACTCTGTGAGCTCGTCCCCAGATGTGGAGCAGGCACCCAGGCCTTGCACTGCAGCCCCGATGCTGCCCGTTGCGATCATGGACGGTGGGTACATGGCAAAGGTGTAATCTTGGAAAGGAGAGGGAACCATGAGACAAGGAAACCTCAAGGATAACAGCCAGTGTAGACTTCTTGATTGTCAGAAACTGCCAGGCAGCATGCAGAGCCGGGGGCACAATGGAAAATCCCAGTGGTGGGTGGATAGGAAAGAGCCTCTTTCCTAGAGAGGATCAGGGTGGTCCCTAAGTGGTCCTGGCCAGGGACCAGGACATGGATGAGACCCTCCCTGACCTGGAAACATAAATAGGGCCAAGGGTTCTGCTCCCAGTTTATTCACTGTGAGACCCTGAACAAGTCACTTCTCTTTACACCTTCAGTGTCCCCACCTACTTACTGGGGGTTTCTGAGATCCTATATAGCTCTGATTATGATATGCTCTTCTGTACTGAGACTGGGGGCTCAAAGAGGATATAACTTTCACAAGTGAATTTTGAAAGGAGTATAAACTAGAATCTCCTAGTTACCTCTCATCCTTCCCAGTCTTCTGATTTTCCTGATTGGGCAAAAACACACAGGGCTCTTACCTGTAGCACAGAGGGCCAAAAAGGTCTGGGCATGCTTTCTGACCAAGGCCTGTCGGTCACTGGGCAGAGAGAGCCGGTGCAGAATCAGGGCCAGGAAATCATGTGCAATCACAGCAGCCAGGTCCCACTTGAGCTTCCCTAGGACCAGCACCTCCCATTCCTGGGGGTTGGGGGAGAGGGTGAGGTCAGTGGCTGAGAAGCGGAAGGGAGGGAGTAAAGCAGGGGCCTTCCTCACAGAGAAGGAAGGCCCACCAAACTTCTTAAGCTCAAGACCCCAACTGTGCTTCTGGTTTTATGTACCGGCACTATGGAATGAGAAGTCTAGGGTAGGGAAGAGCTGGTGGCTTCTGCTTTGAGCATCTATTGGTCATTTACTGGGTGCCAGAACTATATGCTTTACATGGATTATCCCTTTTAATCCTGTTTGGTTATCTTTAAGGGGCCAATAATCCAGGCTTTCTCCTGGATTTCTTCACTCAGGGCTCTAAGCACTTCTCTAGCCAGGGTTGAAAGACACAAGTAGCAGATATCACCAGCATCATGATGAACTTGAGACTCCTCTGGGATGAAGCAGAAAGACTCTCCAAACTCCAAGGATTTGTGAAAGGAGAGATCACTGCTAGCCTTCCCCCTACCTCCGCATCCCAGCCAAGTCCACACCTCTTAAAGAAACAGGAGTGAGCATGAGACCACTCCTCCTATGACACAGCCACTGAGCCTCCTCTGAGGTTCCTCAAAGGGGAGGTTGCCCAACCCAACCCACATCCCCTTAGTGGGACACAGGAGTAGGTCCTGGGGTGTAACACCCCCACCTACTCCCTTCAGCTGAAACCCAGTGCCCAGTGCCACTTGACTCTCAGGAGAGGTAGAGACCAAACCAGGCAGGATGGATCAAGATGACCCCTGAGGGACCAAACCCTATCCCTACCTGCACAAGCCTACATACCAATACTAGGTCTTGTAGGGAGGCTGGGAGCCCCACATCAATCTACTCATCTGGGGTTCTCAGACCTGGCCCCCATTTCTGAGTTGCACGCATGAGGATTTCTTCATTGTTTTATCTCAGGAAGGAACTCGTGGGTTCGACTCTTTATTGAAACAGAAATGGCAACTCCACCCAATCTCTTCCAGGCCCCCAGCCACAGCTGTCCCTCTCTTGGCCTCAGCCTCTCAAATCAGCCCCAAGCCTCTAACAGGGCCCCACAGAAAACACATTGGCCTGGAGCCAGAAGAAGTGAGGCAAAGAAGCAAGGATTCTACTCCCAGTGCTTGTCCCAGTAGCCAAACTAACTCAGGAGTGAATAAAAAGCACCTAGTTTCCAAGGAAATATCTGGAAGGCAACTGAGAGTGGGGCTCTCCCTATGGGGAGGCATGAGGTCCCGTGTATCCAGGCAACCCCTGAGAATCCCAGCCCTACTTGGCGGAGAACATAACCCTGGGAGTGATTAGCTGCAGTGGCTGGCAGCATCCATCACATCCCTGGCTTTTAAGGCAACCTGGTCTAGCTTGAAGGTCCAGATTCTACCCTATCTGCTCAGTGCAATGCTCAGTCAGGAGACTTCCCTCCTTTCCTGGGCCTCAACTTTCTCTGCTGCACAAGGATTTAGACCCACTGGAGTTCTCTGAGGTCCCTTCCAACTGTGTCCTAGGAAGTCGTCAGCACACTCCACCCACAACTCAGGCAGAGGGCGTGGGGGAAGAGTACTTTATGCCTGTTCTGAAAAACTCTCCTCACATACAGGCACATACATCACCCCAATTTTTTCACAAAAAGGAAGTCCCCTTCTACCTTCCAGTCCCAACCCCTCCAAAAACATCTTGCTCCCTGGCACTGGAAACCAGCTCCACCTTCAGACTTGCCAAAAACTACCAGATTCATCACAAAGAGCTGTGGGGCCTCCCAGATTCCCAACTCCGGCCTCCTACTCCCATCTCTGAGAGCTACTTGGCAGGAAGAGAAATCCTGTTCCTCGACTCACAGCAGTTGGGGCCCCAGTACCCTGGCTTCCCCGCCAGCCAATCCCAGCAGCCTGCTTGCTGCCCTCCTCCCTGGGCGATGGGGCCCAAAGACTGCTCTCAGGGTCAGGAGAAGACTTGGCCGGCCACAGAGCAAGGTGGAGGAAGGTGCCAGCTCACCCACCCTGTCCCCAGGCCCGCCCTCCCCTCCTCCCCTCCTCCCATGAGGTGATCTGCATGCCCTAAATAACCTCTCCTAGATCCATGAAGCTCTCCCACCTCCTCCCCAGGCTCCTTCTGAGGCAGGGCAGAACCAGTGACTCTCCTGCCCTGACCAGGGAGGAGCCCAGCCCAAGTTCCCAGCAAGAGGCCCAGGGAGCCACTTCCCAAACCACAGGAGTGACAGCAGCTCCCCACAGGATTATGAAAGACCTTGGTCGGAGTGGGCAGACTGGGGGAGGGAGCATCATTATCACATCGGAAGCAGCTGCAGCTCCGCTCCCAGTCTGTCCCTCAGCTGGGGCCTTTGGCTAAGGGGGAAAGGGAGAGATGTTTCCACTGGGCCCAAAACAGCTGCTCCAATTCCTCAGAATGAGGAAAGGGAAGGGAGGATTATGAAGTTGTCTCTTCTGGGATATAAGGGGAAGGAAAGAAGATGGGATGAAACACCTCAGCCCTTCTTTAGTGCAATCAATGCCTGGCTTTAATCTGCTCCGGGAGGCTTTTCTATCACAAAGTCCAATGAGGATAAAGACTCAACCAAGGCAGTCCCCCTCCCCCACATGGAGCACATTCCACTTCCCCACTCCAGTGGGGGTGTGCAGGCATGCCCTTCTGCTGCCAATAAATAACTCATGGTGGCTGTGTAAACCCAGAGGCAAAGTACTAGTGAGTGTAGACATGCAGTTTGACTTGTTGCTATCTGGGGGAAAGACCAGGAAGGAGTGGCATCCCCTGGAGGTCAGGAGGAGGGAGTTTAGTTCATGCCTTCAACTCAAGACTGGGCTGTGGCTACCCTGACCATCACACCACACTGCCCCACCTTTTGTCCCACCCCAGTTACTTCCCAAAAAAGACTCAGCTTGTCTTGCTCCCTCCCCAGGGAGCAGAAAGCCTCTGAGGTCTTAGCTTTCCTTTTTCTGGGAAGTGGGGAGATAGTATGTGTTGGGGGAGGGGGTGTTAAAACACGCACCCGCAACTGGGGAGGAGAGACAGCGTGATCGGTGTAGATGCACAGTTTTTCGATGGTCAGGGGCGTGGTCTCCCGCAGCTTGGAGGCCAGCAGCATGCAGACTGTACCCAGGAGCTGCAACTGCGCCTTTCGGGTGGGGACGCAGGACAGGTAGCGATCCAGGTAGTTCATGGCCAGGGGGAAGACTTCCTCCTCACAGCGCTGCTCCTCACACACCTGGGGGAGGGCGCACAGTCACTGCTGGGGCAGGAGCATGGGAAACACAGCAGCATTAAGGGCAGAGGAGGTGCGCTGAAGGGAGGTGGAATAGGGAGCATGAACGGGAGAGGTTCAGCTCCTGACAGTGGCAAGGACCAATAACAGAGGATGCATCCTCCCCAAGGTGACGCCCCCCACTTCCTCTGCGTTGCCTCCTCCCCTCTCCCCCGGGTGGGGGGTAAAGCAGAGGCGCCCTTCCTTAGGAAAGACTCCCAACAGAGACTCCCCTCCCCCAACGAAGGGAAGCGGGCCGAAGGGTCACCCCCCATGGTAGCCAGAAGCTGAGGCCTTACCCCCATTACGTCTACCCACTGCACACACCCAAGGGGAAGGGAGAAGGCTCCTGCCGCTGCCTCCCGCACTTTTCATTTCCCTGTCGGCAGGAACAGCGCGCGCCACCCCCCCCGCCTTCCCCGCCAGAACCCCGCGACAGACACAGGAACCCGCTCCGGGGCGGGGGCGGCCGAGCCCAGGGTTTTCCAGGCGCGCTCTCCTGAGGAGACCGGGCGGGGGAGGGAAGCAGGAGACACTGAGAGAAACCGGAGGGGAGAGGGTGGCCCTTGTCCCGCTTTCCCGGCCCGGAGAGACTTAGCTAGGGTGCCAAATGAGTGGCGGTCACAGTCAGAAGGAAACAATCAGTGTTGGGGACGGGAAGGGGACACCATGGAGGCAGCCGGCTAGGGTGTCCGAGTGAAAAGACAAGACCGGGGAATCTGGGCCACTGGAGCATCTTGCAGATCTTTCTTGGCACCAGGATGTCCCGACAGGTCGGCCTCAGTATGCCCAGAGCCGGGCGCGGCGGGGGAGGGGGACCCGTCCGGGTGGTACCTCCAGCATCCAGTATGCCAGCATCTTCCGCATGTGCGGCTTGATCTCCCTCTGCACGCACTGGAAGTAGGAGGTGCGGGGAACGTAGCGCTCCTCCAGGCGGAGCAAGCTCTGCAGGACACGCTGGTCCCCCAGCAGCCGCGGGTCTGGCCCGGCCCGGGGCGCGTGCCGGGTGCCCTCGCAGCACAGCAACTCCATACTCGGGCAGCGCACAGGCAGGCCGGGACTGAGGGCTCGCGAGGCAGAACACAGGCGGCGGGCCGGAGAGCGCAAGGCGCGGGTCTGGCGCTGGCGCTGGCACTGCGCGGCGGAGCCCCAACCAGCCAGCTGCCCGCGCGCGCCGCTTCCCTGACAGGCGCCCCGCCCCTCGCGAGGATGTAGCAACCAAGGAATGCTCGGACGTCGCAACGTCCCGGGGGCGGGGCCCCGGCGACCCGGACGGAAAGGGCTGGCGACGCGCTCTCCCCTCCCTCCGCGCGGCCCCTCGCTCCTATTGGCCGGCGGGGCGCAAGCCGGCCGGCTTCCGGGCACTCTGGGCAGTCCACGCTGTCCTGACAGCCCAGAGGAGAGAGTTTTCTGGGAGGTGGGCCTCTTCCCCACCAACGGGCCCGCCCATTGCTTCTCTGACTAGTCGTCCAGGGAAGAATTTTTCTCCAAACTCTGTTCATTCATTCATTTATTGGGCAAAACCCTACTTGAGGTTGTCCGGTTAGCTCAGCTGGTTAGAACGCGGTGTTGTAACGCCAAGGTCAAGGGTCTGGATTCCCATACTTTCCAGCCGCCAAACAAAAACAAAACCAAACAACAATAAAAACCTACTTAACCAGCTGCTTGTTCTACGGAATGTGATAAATAATAGCTAGTTTTTAGTGAACGCTGTTCTAAAGCACTTAATATGTAATAACATTAAATCTTCTCGAAAGCTCATTGTTAGGTATTATGCCTATTTTACAGCTGAGGAAACTGAGGCACAATAACTGTAATAATCATACAGTTAGTTCCTGGCAGAGCTAGGATTGAGAAGCTGGCTATCTTGCTTCAGACTCTGTGCTCTACACCACTGCTACTTAAACTGTAATTCCCCAGATCAGCAACATGAACATTGCTTGGGAGCGGTTAGAAAGTCCCTGACTGGCTAAATCACAATCTACATTTTAAATAGATTCCTGTGCACTTTTAAGTATGAGAAGCTTTGATCTAAATCAGCATATTACAAAAATACAACAGAAAGGAAAGGCCATGGATTCAAGGCTTCACAATGTCGTTAAATTGTTGTGTGGCCTTGGACAAGCCCTTAAAGTCGGCCTTAGTTTCTGTTTAGGGAAAATATGGGTGGAGAAACTAGATCCTCTCCGAAGGAGTGTTTTTTGTTTTTTCGGGGGTGGGGGATGTGGGGTGGAGGAAGACGGCTGGCAGGTAAGGGAATCCAGATCCTTGACCTTGGTGTTATAAGTACCAAGCTCTAACCAAGTGAGCTAACCGGCCAGCCCATGAAGGAGTTTCTTGCTCAGAGTCTATGAGACCTATCAGTTGCCATTTCTTCACCTCCCAAACTTTGGGTTACTTTGTAGTTTACCGGGAAGCTGGATTCCACATGACCAAGAGGCAGGCCACAGACCTCTAATAATGCTCCAAATAGGAGCCCCTTGGGGATCCCTGCCTCTCCTGGGGACCTCCCTACTTAGGAGACACTAAGGAAGTAATTACAGAAATGACATATATAGAAGACAAAAGTTATATGCAAACCATTTTCTCAATTAATTGTTCTTTTTTATATAATAAACTTTACTGTAGTTTTCTTATCATGAAAATGTTCTTTTGCATTATGGAAAACTTAGAAAATACAGTTAAGCCACACAAAAAGGAAAATAATAATCACTTGCAATTTCACCATCCAGAGCGTGTCAATGTTTATTTTTCTAATCTTTGTTCTATGAATAAACATTTTTAATGGGATCATCATAAACTGTTTTGTAAGCTTCCGTTACTAAAAAATATACTGTTAACACTTTTCCATGTTATTAAATATTCTACAACATCACTTTTAATGGCTACATTGTATCCCATTGGGTGAATGTATCATAATGTATTTTACCAAATTTATATTGTTGGAAATTTAAATTGTTTCTAATTCTTTCCTATTAGGAACAATACTGTAAAACTTTTTTGTGGTAATATTTTTGTGCACATTCATGATTACTTCTAGAAGTAAGTTAATTTCTAGAAATGGAATTTCTCAATCTAAGATTATGAAACATTCTAAGGCTTTTGATACAGTTCTTATTACCAAATTTCCCTGCTGAAAGGTTGAACCAATCTACTCCACCAACTCTAATCTATTTTTTTAAAACAATTCTGCCAACTGGAGAGATGAAAAGTGGTTTATTAGTAATAAAAAAAATCTATTCTGGTATATTTTTTACATTTCTTATATAATTTACCTATTCATGTCCTTTGCTGACTTTTTAATAGGGATATTTGTTTTTTCTTATTGATTTATAAGTGCTTATTATATTTTAAGGATATTTACACTTCTTCATAAGTTTTTTTTTGTCATATATTTTTCAAAATCAAAATTTTCATTAACTTTAATTTTGGGTTCATGGTGGATTTTTTTTTTAACAAATATACATTTTTTTAAAATAAACCTTTTAAAATATAAGGTTTATTTTTATGTAACCTTATTTACCAATATTTTCATAATGATTTCTGCCTTTGCAACATGCCTTTCTCACCCTAAAATTATATAAATACTAGAAGAAAATACAGGGAATATTTATAGATTTTTTTTTTATCACTCAGGGAGCTTATTGAAAATGCAGATTCCTGGGCCCTGGCCTCAAGGGTTCTCATTCTTCAAGTGTGTGATGAGGCCTTAAAATATGCATTTTCAAGAGTACATACAATAAAGGTGTTTTTTTAAAAAATAAAGAGTAAATCTTTACCTACATTTATTCAGTGTATCATATGAAGGGGGCTCTACCTTTATTTTTCCCACATGATCAACCAGTGTGTGTCCCATGGCACTGACTTAACAGTCTTTTATTTCATTCACTTCCCTGCTATAAGCATCTCTGGGCCTAGTTCTTGCATTTTAGATGATACCTTATTTTGGTCATTCATAACCAAATAACTTTCACTGGGAACTAGCCCTCAAAATTCCTGTCGTTTCTCTCTGAGAATCCTCATCTGGTCTTTACCCCAATATTAGCCATAAAGGAGCCTTATAAAGACACCAAAAGTGCATTCAGTCTGAAATAACTACTGCCCTCCATTTCCAGAGAAAACTGGCCTTCAACTATAGGAAGAGGGATACAAATTAGAAAGCAGGGAAAACTCCAATTAGAAAATGATATGGGAAAGGAAAGAATAGCTGAATCTCCTTCTCACCTCTAAAAACAGGACAGGTCCTGTCATTGCCCTCCCTGTCTCCTCAATCCCCCCTCTATCCCCGGTCACCCCATTTCGTACACCTGAAGTAACCTCTCTGCTCAGTTTATTTATTTATCCTCCCAGGATCCAGCTCAGGTCTGACCTCCTCCAGGAAGCCTTCCTAGAACAGTCCAGCCTCGTACACCTGAAGTAACCTCTCTGCTCAGTTTATTTATTCATCCTCCCAGGATCCAGCTCAGGTCTGACCTCCTCCAGGAAGCCTTCCTAGAACAGTCCAGCTACAGAAACCAACCCTCTGGACTCCAAACTCCTACATATCCCATTACACATGTCCTGCTTTGGCTGTCTGGTTCTGGACCAGCTCTCTCCTCCTAGCCAGAGCATGAGCTCCTAGAAAAAGGAAGACAATTCACATGCACTGAGATCCAACTCTGCGCTAGGCTCAGGGCAAAGTGGTTACAATCTACCATCTCACCTCCTCTAAGAATTGTTTTCAGATGGGAAACAGGTATGATGGCATTAAATAACTCAGTGAAGTCTATTTAGCTCCCCCAAACTATAGGCTTTTAATGCTATCCTGGCCTCTCCTTAAGGACAGGGACTACGTATAGGACCTAGCACCTTTCTGTGACCACCAGCAATAACAACAACCCTCTGTGTAGTGCTCACTATGTTCCAGGCACTGTACATACCTATATATATTAAATCATTCCACTTTCACATCAACCTTATGAGAAATATACTATTATTCCCCCATTTTACAGAAAATGAAACCAATTCGCAGAGTAGCTGAGTAAGCTGGCCCAAGATCACACGGATAGTAAGTGGCAGAGGGCAGGATTCAACCTAGGCAGTCTGGCTACAGAGTCCATGCTCTTAACCACTTCATTCTACTGCCTCTTGTGCTGTATCAATTTATTAGTTGTTGATTTATTAATTGAGGGAGGGGCGAAAAGAGGTTGTCTAGTCCTGGAAGCTGGGGTGTGAACCTGCACCGGGGGAAGGGAGCTTCCCGTGAGCAGACCTTTATGAAAGATACTTCTGCTTTGCCCCTGATGGGAATGCCATGTCCAGAGCTGGGTCACCCTGGACCTCCAGGGCCAAGGGTTGGCTGCTGAGAGGCAGGTGAACTCAGTGCAGGGCCAGGGCAAAGAAGTTCCTTGGAGGCTAGCCAATCTGCCTGGGAACTTCACCAGTTGCTTCCACCTCAAAGGAATAGGATCTCCTCTTGTTTTTTCCTAAAAGGAGAACAAAAACAAAAACAAGACAAAGCAATGACCAGCATCAATATGGTGAGAAGTTTCTGCCCAGTTACACTCAATTAGAAAAAGTCATTCAATAAAATGGCAAATTAGAGAAGGTTTGGGAATGGAATGTCACAGGCCAAATGAGAAGCCCCAAGGAAGAATACAATGCTTTTTTCCTTCTCCTTTCTATCATTGAAATGTCCCCACCTGAGAACAGAGAGGGTGAACAAGGCAGTGGGAAGGGCCGGCCCGTGGCTCACTCGGTAGAGTGCAGTGCTGATAACACCAAGGCCCCGGGTTCGGATCCCACATAGGGATGGCTGGTTCGCTCACTGGCTGAGCGTGGTGCTGACAACACCAAGTCAAGGGTTAAGATCCCCTTACCGGTCATCTTTTAAAAAAAAAAAAAAGAACAAGGCAGTGGGTAAGGCCCATCACCCTGCAGTCCACATTCAATGCCCAGTTACCTTCAGACCCATTGAGATGACAGGTGGAGCCAGGCTGGCTGGCCATGGGGCTGGGGGCAGGGGGGTTAACAGGGAGGTGGACAAGGATCTGGAGTCAGACCGCTTTCACTTTCAAACTCGGCTCCATGTCTTATGACTTTGAGGGTATTGCTGGAATCTTTGTTTCCTCTTTTTTTCTAATGAGGATAATAATAGCCCTTTCCCCAGAGAGGTGTTCTGAAGACTAAACAGGCAGGAAACAACTCCTCTGTGCCTGGTGCAGAG